TTAAACTGAGATAATCATAGAGCACTTTTCTAAACTGCAAAGGTTCACCTAGAGTAGAGCAGGAGCAGGTAAAAGGCCTGGCTGTGAAGCCATTTCCACAGAAACAACTGGTTAGCCAGCATCCCAGCTGCCCAAAGCCAATAGATTTCCTTCCTGTGCTTTGAGGAAAATTATAAAACAGCAACCACAAAACTTTTCACGAAGAACTGACTCTGGGTAATTAATCACCGTTCCATTCACTGCCGGGCCTGTGTACCCTCTTCTTGCCCCCCTGACCTCTGTCTTACACACAGGCTGGAAAGTCAGAGTGGAGAGGACGCACCCATTGTCTGGCTGGGCTGCCCATCTGGCCCTCACCCTCCCCTCTCCCCAAAGCCTGGCCATTCCTGTGTACCCTGGGCCCGGAGAGCAGGTTTAGTAGCACTAAACAGTGGGCACCAGGCAGAATTCCACCCCATTCTTCCCACTGGATCGTCCCCTTTTCAGCATTAGCCTCTCTGAGGCCTTCTGAATGCTGACAACCCAGGCAGTGTTAGTGTTAACCTTTCTGTTCTGGTTAACAAACCCAAGGAGCAACTGCGGTTTGGTCTAACAGAGTGGCGCAGGCCAGGTAGGAGGACTGGAGTAGGTGGAGGTGTGGGTGGAGCCATGAACAGAGAGGGCTCTGCGCTCGGGTGGGGTGGGGGATGCAGGCGTCTGAGGCTGAGACCCACGCATCTATAGTCTGCAAGCCCCTTGGTGCCGCAAATCCAGCCCCTAAACTCACCTTTTGTTGCCTGTTTCGTGGTCTTCTGTGGGAGACTCCCTGAGTACCATTCAGTTCTACATGGGGCCAGCAAGCTGTGGTCCACACGCATTTTCTTTCCCGTGCAGAAGAACTTGCACAACTCTGTATCCGAATATTCATAGTTCTCACGAAACCACACCCAGCTGAGGCTCAGCTGAAATCACCCAGGCATGTTTGTGCAAGGGAGTCCTGGGACTGCTCCAGAGCTGCGTCTCTGTTGGCTTTGGAGTCACCATGGATTGGACTCAGCCCTGACAGTCCCCGGTGGGAGTGAGGTCTACTCAGACTTCCACCCACATGACTGCTGAAGTGGGCAGTCAGCCATCGGTGCCGCGGGCCCGTTCTTCACAGTTGGAAACTAAAGGCAGGAGAAGCACAAATCCCTTGTCCAGGGCCTAAAGCAGATTGGCAGTTCCCTGTCTGCCCTGTCCACCATGGCGGCCACCAGCCACATGTGGCTGCTGAGCACTAGAGATGAGGCCAGTGTGACTGAGGACCAGATTTTAAATTTTCTTTATTATTTTATAAATTCATTTTAATGAGAAAAAAGATAAAATAGCAATGAAACAGTTTCAAAATAGGTTAGTAGGACAGTTACAATAATTAATACATTGCATATTGTTGTCTTCATGTTAGTTATACAGAGGACAAGATAGACATGCTATCTTGTCTAAACATTAGCATGAACCTTTCTTCTCATTGAATTAAGAGAATATGTCTGTATATCTATCCTGTCTTGTATATACATATATTTATATATATTTTCACAACAAAACAGTCCTTTATTTATAGCCCCCTTTTTTTGTTTTGTTTTGTCAGAGATGGATGTTCCATTGCTGTCAGAGAAGCTGTATTTGGAGAAGTCTTTAAGGGACCTTTACATACTTTGCATACATTGTAGGTACTTGAATTCAGCAAAATAGCCCACTATATTCCGATAGTCCATAGTAGGAGCGAGTTAATAGCACAACTGGCAATTGTCCCAAGTTGTTGACTTGAGCCTTTTACAGCTCAGCATTAAATTTTCTTTATTTTTAAATGAATTTCCTTTGAAGGTAAATAGGCACTTGTGGTGGGTGGCTGGTGTAGTTGATAGTACAGTGCCTGACAGTTCTCAAAACTCTTTCTCAAATGGGGGAAAGGCTTGAACACTCTAATTCCACAGGGAGGCTAATGTCTGATTTGGAGTAGAATTTTTCTTAAGTCAAATTAGTGCAACTTAGCTTTGTTGATAGCTTTATTATACCTGGATGTTGCCCCGATACCTCTTGGTATATTAGTTTAGCATACAGTGTTGAGTTCCCCACTTCTGGTCCTATATCAGCTGATGCAAGGAGCTGTCCATGGTAGGAGAATTCCACAGGCAATTACAGTAGCAGACAGTGAGTGCTACCTGTAGAAACACTTTCCAGAATGCAGGCCTTGTCCAGACAACAAACTCAGGAGGGAGAATCCTTTGCCCACTTTTGTCTAGAGAGACTTGTGATCTGGTATGGTTGAGCTGGTCTGTGACTTAGGACGGCAGAGGTGAAAAATCAAGCGCGACACCCCTCCTCCCTGCGCCACTCACAATTTGAACAGACTTCAGAGTGTCTGAAGTCCTTTTTCACTGGGGGTCTCACACTGCTGTCACAAGCACATGAAGTCACTGTGCTCTGCCAAAATTCTGAAGCTCAGTGAGATGGAGTCTGTAGACACACAGATGAGAAGAAGCAGAAACAGCTGGAGTCCAGGATGGGCCTGATCTGGGCGGTGCTGGGCTGGCTGGGAGGGTCCCTCCTCCCTGGGTGTGGTGCAGGCTGTGCAGGCCGGTAGGGATCAGCATGTGCGATGGGCCTGGAGACACAGT